CATTACCTAATACGACCTAGGTGAACAAGTCTCCTGGTCGGGGTTTTCATACCCTAAACACTAAATGAGTAGGGCTTCCTCAGTAGAGGCTATTTGGGACGCTTGGTCCTATGGGAGCATTTCGCGAGGTGCAAGGGAAGGATGACCATCATGAACCCTAGACACCCGACCCCGACCATACTGAGGCTTTTGGAGGCTTACATATACATGTGGACAAAGGGAAGAGGTCACTGAGGAAGCCAGTGTAATGCAGAAGTCTTGAACGTGATTCTGGGTTTGGACGCCCGGAATGTGCGGTTTTTAATCGACGGTGAACTTCGCCCATCGTGCATTGTTGCTATACCGACTTCTCTTTTCAACCTTATCTTGTAATAGCATTTTGCGCTTGGAAGGCACAAAACGTATGCTAAACATCTGTATTGACAATTGAACTGGCTGGGAGTCGTAAACAGTGGTGTTCGTGCAACTTCTTAATTTCTCTGTAACATTAATTCACTGAGATTCTCAATTATCTCTTTGATTTTACTTTTAACCTTCCTGTCTTTCTCCTACTGTTCATCCAAGTGGGCATCTAAAAGACAGCAACCAAAACCGGTGAATAGTTGTACAGACTATTCAAACAAGCCTCTGGACCTTCACTCAAGGAAATCCTCATACTTAGGTGAGATATTATGCCATCTAGATCGGCGGCGCTTTACTCACATGAAGACAACCGTTTCCAGGTTCATTTTCATTACCTAACTTGAAATAAAAAAGAAGACAGCACTGACGAACCGCTTTCATTGTTGAATTCTGATTGGTCGTTCGCGTCAACAAATATTCGATTATTTGTGTACTGGGGACATTAAAACTCCGGAATTTGTTCGTGGCAACATTGGGTAGAGCAATCGTTATCATCTTCAACGGGTAGTTGTATTCAGAGCGGTTATCCTGTTGACCGCATTTCAGATTTTCTGCTGTTTATCAAGGAAGCAGTGTGAATAGCTATTCTCATGATGGAAGGTGTTTATCTGTTCAATCTCTTGCTAGGCACCGAGGAAAATGTCTCTCTGCGCAAGCATCGGGCCGGATTTATCTCGTTTATGAATCACCGAAATACTGAAATTCGCACTCAGCCCTGCTTATGCTCGTTTGTTGTGCTCTCCATTGGGTGGTTCCACTTTGGCGTCGTCGTGGAAGCGCTTCCAGGCAGGCTACACAACCATTTCTGCTTACCGGTTTCTATCGCTGAACAGCAGATCCTCGTGACTATGGGGTTTACCCCGTCTGCTGTTCATCACGCGGAAATGTGTAACAATAATAAATGTCTAGCACTGTCTCTATGTTGGTCTTGTTTGCGATTCGATAAAGATGTGTCGACAGTAAAGACATGTTTTGGATGGAATTTGGTCATTTTCGATTTATGCAGCCATTAACGGTTCACATTCCGTGAAATAGACCCTCAACGAGCAGGCCGGGTTTCGTGCACGCCGTTGTTACATAGATGAAATGTTCACCCTTCATCGCCACACAAAGAGATGACAAAATATTGTAATTTTGGACATCAGGACGGCCTTCGGCTCCACCGATAGCCCTGCGCTGTTGAACCCATTTCGAAGTACCCGGGAAATGTGTCCTGCTTCTAAAAGTACTCTACCACCAGCTCTCGGTGAAGGTTAAGACCCATGGTGAACTCCCTCTCATTTCCTGTCACCTGTGAGGTACGGCAGGGTTGCCCCATCTCCATTTTCTCTTCAATTTCGTCATAGATTATAAACTGCCAAAAGCGTCACTTTAAGTAACGAACGTTGGCCTCAGGCTTCTTCCTGGAGACAGTCGTAGACTTGGAGTATGCCGATGATATTGCCGTACTCGGTGACAACGCACTGGCGATTTGAAACGCGGAATCGTTAGGCAGTTGAGGTTACTCGTTATGGTATGTCGTTTGCACCTTCGAAGTGCAAGGTGTTATTGCCAGATTGGCAAGGACCAGTTTCTGCATTTTCGTTGGATAACCATAGTCTGGAACTGATCGTAAGGTCTCCCTCGGGAGCTGCATAATTACTGGTGGAAATGTGGGCGAGATCTCAATAATTATAATGTCTATATTTGTGTCTGCTGGTCTGCAGCATCTCTGATGCCTGCTCGACATGTTCCTTTCACGTGTTGCTCTACAGCTGCGAAACTTGTCCTCTGAGCACATATCCAACGACTATCCGT